GTTGATGCTGTACGTATAGATGGTGTTGACAAAGGTTTAGAACACATTTTTTCAAAGACTAAATCTAAAACCCAGAGTAAACATCAATGCTCAGAGTTAGCATAATTTGGAGCTATTCAGGAATTGCAGAGAAATGCATTTTCACAGAAATCAAGATGTTATTTTTGTATACTATATCACTTAGACAACTGTGTTTCATTTGCTGTAATCAGTTTTTAAAAGTCAGATGGAAAAAGCAACTGAAGTCCTAGAAAATAGAAATGTAATTTTAAACTATTCCAATAAAGCTGGAGGAGGAAGGGGAGTTTGACTAAAGTTCTTTTTGTTTGTTTAAAATTTTCATTAATGTATATAGTGCAAAATGCCATATTAAAGAGGGGAATGTGGAGGACTCAAAGCTGACAGTTTGGACTTTTCTTTTTGTACTAACTCAGTCATGTCTTTGGTAATGGAAAATTTGCTGTTAAAAGGCTGCATAGGGTATAGATACTTGGGTATCACATTTGTTTTGCAGAACTAGATAAAATTCTCTTTGTAATCCATTATAATGATGCACTTTAGTTCTGTTTTCATACTGAACAGTTCTAATACTATATTACTGTGTTTTAGCATTTCATATTTTTTTCTGGGCTTCTTAAGGATCTGAAATGTTGGATTTTTTTTTCTAGGATCTGGTTTAGAGTCAAGATGGACCTTAGAAATCATCTGGTTTAATGAACTCATTTTCTAGATGAGTTAATAGATGTCCTCTACTCCTTCCTCCCCCACTAAATTAAATACATAATAGTGGCATGTATAATACTTTTTCATAATGTGATATTTTTACTGAGCAAATTGTATATGTCTCAGATGTTAAGCCTATTAAATAATTTTATTTTCTACTACCAGTATGTAACAGCATAAGGAGAGACCCATTTTTGAAGGGTTGGCTGTTAACTGCAGTTAAATTTGAGGGTTGGTGGCTGGCGTACATGGAATTATTTCCTTCCAAGGCCCAGCTTTTTGGGAGGAAACCTCAAATGTGGAAAATGCTGTGGCTCTTCAGGTCAGCCCAGTTCTAGTTAATAATATAGTATTTCTGTCTCCGGTGTTAAGCACAGCTTTGTGTGTTAAGAAGGGAGAGGGCTTTTTAAAATGTAGAACTGGTTTGCTTCACATAACCAATCCTTGTACAACATTTGTAGTACTTTAGTTGCCTTTTGTTTTGAGACTTTTGATACACATAATTAAGGACCTATGCATAGGAGACCACAAAGTGTTCCTTTATAATTCAAGTGTAACATGGTAATGTATTTTACAGGGAAATCAAGCTAATTAAAGGAAGCCATCGTGCAGTACATGTAGGAATTAATGCTGTTGTGAGACATAGTTTTACTGTGCCTTTTTTAAAAAATAGTGTTTTTTTTTTGAGACAGAGTCTCACTTTATTGCCCTGGGTGGAGAGCTGTGGCATCATAGCTCACAGCAACCTCACACTCTTGGGCTCAAGTGATTTTCTTGCCTCAGCTTCCCAAGTAGCTGGGACTACAGGTGCCTGCCACAATGCCTGGGTATTTTTTTAGAGATGGGGGTCTTGCTCTTGCTTAGGCTGGTCTTGAACCTGTGAGCTCACGTAATGCCACCTGGGCCTCCCTGAGTGCTAGGATTACAGGCGTGAGCCACCACACCTGCCCTAAAAAATAGTTTTTTAGAGAGTAACCTTAATGACGTGTGAATGGTTTTGTCAAAAGTGAGATTTGTGTTATGGATCAGCAGCTTTTACCACTGAGTAAGAAATTTGGATTCTTAATTTGAAGTGTATTCCCCCTCTACAAGGAAAAAACCAATTTCTTGTATGTCAGAATCTGCTTCAGCTGCCTGTCTCCGCAAACTAGACCAAATGTCAAGAATTTTTTTTTTTTTTTTTTGAGACAGAGTCTTGCTTAGTTGCCCTCGGAGTGTCCTGCGTCACAGCAACCTCAAACTCTTGGGCTTAAGCGATTCTCTTGCCTCAGCCTCCCAAATAGCTGGGACTACAGGCACCTGCCACAATGCCCAGCTATTTTTTACTTTTTGGTGGTGGTTGTCGTTTGGCAGGCCTGGGCTGGATTTGAACCCATCAGCTCCAGTGTACGTGGCTGGCACCCTAGCTGCTGAGCTGTAGCCATTGAGCCAAGGAATTTTTTTGGGGGGACAAGTGTCTTACTATGTTGACCTAGCAGAGTGCCGTGGCATCACAACTCACTGCAACCTCAAACTCTCGATTTAAGTGACTCTCTTGCCTCAGCCTCCCAAGTAGCTGGGACTACAGGCACCCTTCATAGTGCCTGCTATTTTTTTTGTTGTTGCAGTTGTCATTGCTGTTTAGCTGGCCCAGGCTGGGTTTGAACCCACAAATTTTGGTGTATGTGGCTGGTGCTGTAACTACTGTGCTATGGGTGCCAAGCCCAGGGATTTTCTTACAAGGTTGAAGGGATTGAATGAAAGGTAGATGGAAATGTACAGTGAATTCTGCATTGTCAAATGGATAAAACTTGCTTTTGCCTCTCTTTTAAGTTTTTGGTGTCTCGTTGCCCACAGTATTAGTGCTGATTTCCGTGGTTTGACAGCTACTTCTAGCGTAGGTATACCTCCTCAACTCGTTCAACTTTCTTCACCAATGACTTAAATGGATCATACAGCTTTTTGCCTACTAATTTTAAAGAATTTCATAAAGAGCTAAAAGAATAATCAGTACAATAAATGTACTACGTATATGCTTCGTCTAGATTTAACAAGTTACATTTGTTGCTGAGCCATTTAATACATTACAGATGTGACCATTCAACATTTCATTATGGATCTCATAAGAATTAAGGTGTTCTCATGATCACAATACCATTATTACACTTAATAAATTTAAACTTTATTCCATTGTACCATCTGATACCTATTGATTTATTCCAGTAGCCCCAGTTGTGTCTAAGATAATTTTATATTGGCTATAATTTCCAAACCAGGATCCAAACATGGTTTGTGAGTTTCTTTTGGTTAATGTATTTCTTTAGTCTCTTTTATTTTAATAGTTCATCACTTAGGTTCCCCATATCCTTGATTTTTGAAGATACCATAGCACAGTTTTCTTGAAAGTCTTAATATTTACTGATTGTTCCCTTATGGGATCATTGAATTTGTTTCTCTATATCTCCAGTGTTTCCTGGTCTGTAGGCTTGATTATTAGGATTACCTCTCAACTTTTTGGGGGTAAGAATGTTTTATTTATTTATTTTTTGAGACAGCCACAAGCTGTCGCCCTGGGTAGAGTGCCGTGGCATCACTGCTCACAGCAACCTCC